ACCACTATTATCAACTTTTTAAAAGTGAATACACCCTTCTCATGTATAGGTTTTCAATATCAAAGTGTTATAATCCATCCAAGAGAAGTCTATTTGAATGACATCTAAGTTTTTCACATATGAAATCACGAGGTGTGTCAATAAGGCATGGTTGGGCAAAATCCATAAATATTGTTTGGGGATTTTGAGTTGCTCAGACAGCATAAAATTTGGTATTTTTTTATGATGAGGCTATCAAAAAAAAAAAAAAGTGAGACTATCGTGGAGGACTTTTAATTAGGTGATGAGGCTTACACGAGTGCTCTCAAATTGACTAATCCTAGCCTATTGTTGATTTTATGGTAGGTGAATTTTACTATATTATTATGATATGATTGTTGTTTTGTTAAATCCCTGTAAGAACTAAAAATTTAAGCTTGTTGATCCATCCTATAAAGACTATACTTAAAAGTTAGCTCTGAATGGCCATCACCAAAGTATGTTATCTTTGATCGAGGTATTTGTTATTAGCCATTGAAGAATTATTTGTAAAATGTTAGGAATGTTTCCCATAGATGGCGCCAAATTGTTATCGAATTTACTAGTTTGACCCGGCATTCTTGTGCTACTTGATCAACCATATTCTCGCAATAATATTGGTTAATGTAGGGTAGTCTTACTTTATTGGAACCCCTTGTGACATCATAAGAGATAAACTTAGACTTCTTGTTCAAAAAAGCTCTCTTAAGAATCAATTTACTTGAACTTAGCTGCATGCCATTCTAGTGTTGTTCAAGTTTCCTGCTATAGATTAGTATGATGGGCCATCTGATTATAATGAACACATTTATGATTGCAGGATTATATACATATTCAATAAGGCTCTCATATGTTTCTATGCTATATATTCTTGTCCATGTTTAAGGGTCAAGTTCGTATTTGATTTTAGGGGCATTTATGTACACACTACCCAATTCTTATATATTTACATATCTAATACCTTAACTTTCATATTGACATACACACCATTTATATCTTTGACATCACATCAAAAAATACCACTATTATGAACTTTTGAAATGTGAATACACCTTTTTCATGTATAGGTTTTCAATATCAAAGTGTTATAAATGTAAATATTAAACTTTAGGTGTTAGATATGTAATTACAAGAATTTTGAGGTATGCATGTAAACTTCCTTTATTTTATTCTCTATCCAGTAAGATTGTTTACTATTATTATGGTCACAAAGATCAAGCTAGTGTTGATTGCATTAGTTTGTTAAGTCTTTTCCAATTAGAAGGGAAAAGCAGAGAGTTGTAATCTCCACGAGCATAGTAGATCATTTTATTTGGGCCAAACTTCATGATTTTTTTCCTTCGCAAGTTTGTCTCATAAAAATTTTGGTGCCTTTTGCATTCTTCTTTGTTATCTGTGAGTGCAAGATTTCTGCACAGCTAAGATATAAAATTCTTACTTTCCATTGTGATTTTTCTAGTATGCAATAAAATTAAATATGGTTACATATAAATTGGCTAGTTTTATTATGAGAACTGTTGCAAAAGTTTAAGGAAACTTTATAAATAATTCTTATACTAAAAATGAAATTTAATGGTGGAGTGAGTATAAAGGATTGCCAAGGGACAATAAATTCTCTTTTAAAAAGTGTCAAGATGTGAATATTATTGAGGCATATATTGATTATAAAAAACCTAAAATTCTTGTTAAGCATTTTGCTAGTGAAGCAAAAAATTATTGATTTTGACGATTTACATCTTGTGGTTAATAGGGAAGTAAAAAATAGGATGTATAGAATAGCATAAAATAAGAAATAAAGGGATTTAAAAATCCTGATCATGTTAGATGCATTAAAAATGAGTGTAGTAGGATCTTGGTTAAAGATGAAGACATCAATGAATGATTAAAATATTATTTAAAAAAATATTAAATAAGAGATTTGAGGAAGATGCTACTTTGAAAGAATATTGGGAACAATATAGTGAAATACATTATTTGTTATTGGATCTCTATTGAGATTTGAGGAGTTATGAGGGCATTGAGTGACATATTTAATAAATCCGTTTTATTTAATTTTGAAAAGTAGCATGATGCCAAAAGATTGGAGAATAGTATTCTTGATACCAAATATTTAAGAACAAAAATGATGTTTACGATTATGCTGATTATTGATAAATCAAACTTATGATTTATATAATGAGGTTATGGGAGCAAGCAATAAAACATCGGTTAAAATATTTAATCAACTATTGTTAACTAATTCAATTTTACACGAAAATTTATCATCAAATGATTTTTTTGTTAAAATAGATAATTGAGAATTATAGATAACAAACACAGGCCTTCATATGAGTTTTATTGATCTTAAGATAGTTTATGATCGAGTATCATGATAATTAATTTGATTTATTTTAAGACAGAAATGTGTATTGAAGATACATTCATGTTACTAAAGATATTTATGATTGGGCATTGATTGGCATTGAAAGTAGCAGTTTTAATTATTGTAGTTTACACTACGAATTAACCTTGAGTCTATATTTATGGATACATTTCCAAAGGATATTCAAAGCAAGATGCCTTGGTACATATTTGCTTTAGATAATGTATGTTTGATTGTTGAAAATATCTATTAAATTGAATGAAAAATTAAAATGTTAGAAAAAATTTCAAAATATAGAGGTAAGAATTAGTGAAAGAAAGACTAAGTATATAATGCATGATTTAATGATTATGATGTTAGCAATTATCATTCAATATAATTCAAAGATAATGTGATACTTAGGTTTGAATTATTTAAATATTTGAATCTATTGTTCATAAGAGTGAAGATATAGATGAGGATATATTTTTTATAATTAAGATTGAAGGGAAGTGCTTCAGAAATTGTATGATAAGGATGTATGAAAGTTTAAAGGTAAATTTAATAAAATTACAATTAGCTAAAAATTTTACATATATTTGAATGTCTGGCGGAAAAAACCTTTGATGTCAAAGTTAAGCATAAATGAGTATTAATAGACGTGTGATAAAAATAAATGTTGCAGTGATATATATTGAAGTTAATGTGATTGAAAATAGATTTGGATGGTTTGAATGTGTTATAATGAAGTATAGAAATATCACTTGGTAGAGAATTTGATTAAAATAGCACCACATGATTACGGGCCCATTTGGGACAGCTTTTTGCTGCTTTGCTTTTCAAACCGTCATCGTAGTTCTACTTGGGGAATCGCTTTCTTACTGTTTTTTAGAAATTTATGTGGTAGAAAGATGCTTTTAGTGGCTGCTAGAAAGTCGCGGTCTAACCTTTTAAAATTAAAATAAATTTCTTTAAACCGCTCTAGATGCCCCAAACAGACCCTGAGAAGGAACAATGAGCTGATTTAAGGTCATATAAATAAAAGTTGTTCAAAATAATTTATATAGAGTATGTTTAACTCTTCAAACAATTATATTAAGACAAATGGAATTGCAGATTTGTAATGCTTACCACAAGTAGTAGGGATTAGGCTAATGATGATGGCAATGATTGTTTTTTTTCTTCTAATTATAAATGAAGACTTCAGGTAGAAAAAAGAGCATACTAGATGCAATATTATTAGAAATTATGCAAATAAAATTAATAAATGCTTCATTTAGCACATAAAATTCAACAGGAATGAATGAAAAAGGATTCATATAAAGTTGATCTCAAGTTGTTTGGCACATAACATTCCACAAGAATGAATGAAAAAGGATTCATATAAAGTTGATCTCATTTTGTTTGGTTTAGATGAGCCGAATGACGATGATGCACCCAAGTATATTGTATTTTCTAGAAAGAAAATAAAATTTTAGTTGCTTGTGTGGTCATGTTTGATCTCAAAGGCAATCTCATTGCATCAACTAATATATATACATAAAAAAAAATGTGCTCATCGAACATATTTTACATGGCTTTTTCATCATCATTTAGCCTTATCCCTTTTCTAGCATTATAAATTCTCTCACTTTTTTAATTTTTTATTTTTTTTTGCGGAGCAATACATATATTATATTCATTTTGTGGAATTTTGTTTGAACAACTTCTTTCAACATTACTAAAGATTCTTATTTTTTCTTTCTAACCTTTTGATTCTAGTTTTATTTACCCATTAATGGGTGCATTTTCTATCCTTATATTTTCCACTATTTATCATCAGTACTATTACTACTGTTGCCTATCCAATATAATCATTCCACAATCTAACCTTCTTAGTATTTGCCATAAATTTATTTTAATTTTTTTTATTTTTGCCATACTCAATTTAACAATAAGTGGATTTTTAACTATCTAAAACTCTGATCCTCACAACATACTAGGCCTTATCGCACTTTCATAAAAAAATTACTTCTATATTTTCCATAGTATTTTCTTGATGTATTCTTTTCCCAAATCAGTGTTTTTTTTATCTTTTGGTCATTATTATTTGGATTTATAAACTGTGAACAAAACTTGCCCTGCATTTTTCAAGATCTTTGGATTGTCTATTATGGATTTAGAAGATTTGCATGCATACCACTCAATTCTTATGTATTTAGATATTTGGCACCTAAATCTCAAATTTTTTCATATCTGCCACCTGAACTAGCATGAAAAAGGTGTAATCCATTTTTTTAAAGTTGGCGTTTTTGATATGATATCTGGGATTTAGGTTGCATAAATATAAAAATTGAGGTTTTGATGCTAGATATGTAGATACATAAAAATTGGGTGGTGTGTATGTAAATGTCCCCATGGATTGATAGTACTAAAGTGATCTGCAGCCCCTTGCTGTAGCTGTAGAAACATATTAATGTCTTTTGTTAAGGGTAGAATTACTGTGCGGTTTACTTTTGCCCCTTATTTTTTTAAGCAAGTGCTGTATTATTTGCCAGAAACTTATTATTGTCCACAACCACACAAAACAATCCCTTCCCAATAAAACGGGAAATCAGAAAATTGTGCACTGCTTTATTTCACAAACCCTCTCCTTGCACAGGTAAGATTATTTTTATCAGAGGATGCCCCCTCCCAATCTGGACTTGGAAGCCAAGACCACCTACAGGCAAAACCCGCATGGCTGCTGCACTCAACCCCCCCAGCCTCTGATGACTCCGTCCCTCCTGGTTTTGAAACAATGCATCGGGGTCAGATTCAAAGAAACATTCCTTTAATCAAATGGCAATGCCCCCCCAACGTAAGCTTTCCTCCTCCTTCAAACATACAAAATATGAACTTTTATCTCCCTTCAAAATTAAAATCTGCTGCAAGTTTTTCATCATCCAAATTCCTTAGCAATGGTTGAAACCGGAATGGCTAGTGGTCGCTGGAGAAGAAAGTCAGGAGATTGCTTCGCAGGACCGCCGGCAGATCGGAGTTCTGGAAGCCGTGTATCCTCGTTTATCTTCCATACCTCCTGAGTAAGTTTCAGTAGCTCTGCTACTTCTCCTCTACTAAAGCTCATCTCTGAACCCAAATTTTGCAGTCCCTCCGTCTCTTCAGACGTCCAACAAGCTCCTTTCGACGATTCACAAGCCATTCTTATTCCTATAGTCGCCGTAGAAGACGATGATGCAGCAGAACTAGA